ATATATATATATATACAGGCAGGGTTGCCAGTTTTTTTTCTTTTGTGTATATCGGATATTTGTGTGGTCAAGCTACCTGAGTCCGGAAATTGAGAATATTCCATTGTTTCAAAGAAGATGGTGCTTTACTGATTGTACCTAAATGTATCTTAATGTATACAAATAAACTATGATACTTGTTAAGTATAAAACACGATTAAATGTTTCTGTTTGACATAAATGACTTAAAATGATTGCCAATACAAATCATTTTAAGTGGCATATGTTTGCGAATTTTACATGGCGCTTTTATTTTGATACACCGGATGTTATTGAAATGTTGTGTTTTTGTTTGCTAGCTTGACGGACTACATGACGACTTCATCTCTGCCTCAGCTGAAGACCGAACCGACGCAGCTGGATTTGCTTTAACTATCATCATTGAAGCGACAACATTGGACTTTTCTATCACCATAAATTCGAAAGCAACATTTTTCGCAGAGTTAATTAAAACTTTTAGGATTAGTGCAATAACTGTCAATTTATCGTAAACACAAAAAAAGACTAGAGAGGCAGAGAAGCAAAAAAAAAAAAAAAAAAAAAAAAAAAAAAAAAAACATAACCGGCAAACAAAGAGGTCCCTTTTCAACGCCAACATTTTTCCTCCATATTCAATAGTTATGAGTCATGTGGCCGTCGAAAGTGCCCACGGTCTAGAGCAGCAGGTAAGCCGCGTCAGTTTGTTTAAAGCGTTTATTAAAAAGTGGGACAACGAGAGGAATAAACATTAGCTTGCCGGCTAGCCTAACACCGTTAGCAAGATGCTAAGGTGCCAGATAGCTTGGGTTCGCTTCTTTTGAGCGCTCGAATGTGGCGCTGTGCGGAGACATCAGTCACTAGTTTAGTAGTATTGCTTGAGTTCTTCAGAGTTCTGTGTAATTATTTAGGAAAGTTTTATGTGGTACTTTGTATAGTTGTAGGTCATGCTGAATCTGTAATATTTCTTCGTAAAACGAAAAGACTGAAATGAGCCAACTTGCTCATAACGTGTTGTCGGTGCTCACAGGTGAGCATATGAAACGCACCCTTGAACTATTCTGTTCACTGCGTTTTTCTTGCAGCCTGTAACAATGATAAAATGGAGGTGTATGAGGATGGAGCTAGTGAAAAACTAACGACGCGCTTCTTGTTTACCGCTCAGGCTTTGAAGCTGCATTGAACATATTTAGCCTTTTTAGCGAGCTTTACCCACTTTATAAAAAAAAAAGGGGGGGGGGGGTATTTTTTTTTCTGCGTCACCAGAAACGTAGCTGTCTGGTCGGCCAGTTGGATAGCAACAGAAAAGTACTGCGTGTTCTGACATGATATTTTGGTTATAAAGAACAGTTAAAATATTTGTGCAAAAATATTTTGCGTCCTGTTATGATCAGCCAGGATGCAAATAAATTAAAAATATGCATTAGTGATTTCTAAAGCAATGCAATCGTGCTCTCTGTGCAGTGCACTTCTTTGGATATAGAGGAATAACACTGAGGCGTATTCTATGAGGCAGTGACACTGATGCATCAATTTGTTGAGCAGTGAACCATAAGAGAATATKTGCAAGTTTTCACTGTGAATAAATTCCTAATTATAGGGTTTGTAGCTTAAAAAATTTGACTTCCTAAGCAATGAAAGGAGAGTTGGTTGAAAAATTATGATTGTGTATAAATGATTGTGCAGGTTCTGCAATTTATTTTGCAAATATAAAGCGTTTTCAGAAATGCACATTGTGTATTTTACAGGTGATTGAATTACGACCACTGCAAATAATAAGTTGACATCTTAGTGACTAATTTAGACAGCACAAAACTGTTTTGAAAATTCATGCATTGTCTTAAAAATCTATGTTCTATATTTTTTCACCTCTTAAATAACATTTAGTTTACATGTGTCCAGTGTATAGACTACGTAGTAACAGGAACTTAATGTAGAAGTTGAAACTGAAACAAAATAGGCTGCCTGCAGGAAAAAACTTCTTGGATGCATTTTATTTTTTTCTTTTAATTCAGAAATCCTACCTTTTGGTTTAAAAATAATCCTTTAAAATATAATAATCTGTAATTACTTTTTCTATGCTTAAAAAATCATCATGATTGTGAGTGGGTGAGCAGATGTTTCCACTGAAATATAAATACATTGGAAGGACCACTGACTGCCTCAGATGAGATTTGTGGCTGGCATCTTACTAGGTGCATTGTTACATGTCAAAGCCACACTTTGTAAGATTCATTGTGTGCGCTGTGTCATTGGTCCAAAAACTCYAAGCAAATATTGTGCAGTTTATAAAAACAGGAAAAGCCTTTGTCGTAATGAGCCTCCCATCAAGCCCAGTCAACCACTGGTGGGGCCGCTACTGTGATAAGATTAAAAAGTACATTAATCATTAGTCAAACCAGTACATAAATGATCTKTAGGTGGTTAAGCACTTTTACTACTTAGTCTAACCCATTCTTTATTTAAAGTAAATATGCATGAATAACCTTTATAATGTTGTTTTCATTATAAACCTGGAAATATTTAGACCTTAGTAGGCTATAAGCTAATGCACTAATTAGAATTTACTGTTCTCCATTAAAAATACATAAAACAAGTTGGTAAACTAATGCCTATTTTAGAAAATATGTTAGTAATCTTGATATGTTTAGTTAGTCGGTTCATGCCAACATGTGATTTTAGAATTTATTAAAATCTAGTCTAAAGAGAGATTTTGGTAAAATACAGTTTATAAATTTGGTGTTTTCAATAAATCTGAAAATAATTTCAAGTTATTTTTAAGTGCAGATTTTGATACTTGTAATGCAAAACATAGGACTTTGTGTCTGAGTTTATTGTTGTTTGTTTTTGTTTGTTTGTTTCTCATATATCCATGATCTGCTGCAGTGCTGGCAGTAACTAAAGACACCACAAAGCACCTGCCAAGATGGCAGCACAGTTTCTTTCTGTTAGCAGTAGACTGCACTGTGGTTGGCTATTCCAGTGTTTTATTTCTTTAAATGGGTAAGTCTTTAGTCTCCACATAGGACAGACTCTGGATCCAAAATTACATTATGGCAGTAGCTGTAAATGTGGAATATTAGGTTTCATTCTTGTAGAACAGAAGAAGACAAACATTTCATACAGTCTTTATCATAATTTATGGGAAAACAAAGGTTGGTTTTATTGGGTGCTTTGTAGAGAGATGTTGAGTTCTAAATATACTGGTTTGTTAGACAATTTTCTTCCTGTTTGGTATTTAATTTGTGTGATAAATCTTGACTCGTCTGTTTTTGTTTGTCCAGCTCGCTGTCCTAGATCTGAGTGCTCCAGATGGACAAGGAGGAGGTACTAACAGTAAGCAGCAAACATGCTTATGTTGTGGTTTTACTTTTGATTAGTTTTACTTGTAGCTTTTGGTTGTACACGCTTTGCATCTGGAAATGTTTAACAWTTTTTTTATCTTTATAGTTATTTATTTTTGGTTTTTATTTGTGGCATTTCATGGTAACTTTTCACTTGACATTTAGATAAAGAATATTTTAGTTTTTTACATCACTAATCATTATTAGATAAAAAAAACAGATCATTAACTGCATGAACGAATGTTAATGTTTGTTAATAATCATTTCTGTTTAGCAAAAGGAGTTATTGCCTATGAAAAACTAATGTTTTGATTTGTTTTCCCTGTCACAGGACGATACATTCCTCCACATTTACGAAACAAAGATGCAGCCAAGAATGGTGAGTCGGATAAATTTAGGTGAAAACAAAATGGCTGCCTCATGAGGTGTTAACAAAGGTTGGGTTAAAAAAATGGATAGTTATAAGGTGTTTTATATTCAGTGTTTTCTTTTTGTTAGCACTTGTTGCAAATAGGGATGGGTACCTTTGACATTTGAATCGATTCGGTACCWATACCCAGTACCTGGAAATCGGTACCGGTACTTAACGGTACCAATTTTCGGTACTTTGTGTGTTGTTGTTGTTTTTTAAAATAAACGTTTTTAAACCATATTTCTCAATATATAAAATTTAACAAATATCAAGGCAACATCCAACTCTTTGTATTGTAACATCAGTTGTGTAACTTATTTCTTTAAGGTGAAAACTCTTGAAAACAACAAGAATGTTTTGTCTTATTGCACAAATTAAAATCCAGCTCCACGTGTTTCTATTGATGTCATTTCTCCACTAGAAAAATGTGTGATGGAGGTCCATGGAAGGCAAATAAGTTTAAATCAAATAAGCAAAAGAGGATGCAGTTAAAATAGATAAAATGTATTCAAGCTACGTTTTGAGCATCCAAAACACGTCCAACGCGTTGGCTGTTGTGCTCTTTCAGGCCAGACGAGTTCGGACTGTCAGGAAGCGCCTCTGTTGTTTTCCTCTGCTGGTCTCTGTTTAATGGTGGATGAAATAAAGAAAGTGGCGGTACTTTATTTTATTTTATTTATTTATTTATAAATAAAATAAAATAAAAATAAGATAAAATTAATAGTTTTTCACGTCAATTAAAAACAAAAATTTCAATACAACAAAAAAGAAACACAAATCTAATAAAATGAAAGGAAAGCAGAAAATTATTTACTTTGAGCAAGCGAACGTCGTGTTAACAAGATAATTAATCCACCAGATAATTCAGATGCGGTCTGTTCAGTGAGTTTTACTCCAGGAGCTGTGAGGCTTTCATGCTACATTCAGACTGAGCTCTGTTTACTGAAGCAGCGGCTGCTGATGTCATTACGCTCTTACGTGATGCTGCGTTCAGGAGAAGCATGGAAAACTCACCACTCTTAAGCCAATACGGTCACAATGATGCGTTTTGGTACCGAAACATGGAACCGTTTGATGTTACGTGAATAGGTTCTCGGTAGTACTGACAGAATTCAGTCTGTACTTAAAAAAGTATCGAATTAGGTACCCATCCATAGTTGCAAATATTAGATCAGGGGTGCCCAAACTATTTCCACAAGAGGGCCAAAACAAAAATCTGTCCAAGGGCTGCGGGCCAAATGCAGTAATATAATACATGAAGTGCAAATACTTCTTAAGTAAAGTCTTTTTATTTTTTCTGACTAAGCTAGGAGCCAGTGCAGTGGCCCATGTTTTGTTCTTGTTCTTTTAGCCTGTGCACTTGGAGAACGTTTGTATATGCTTGGCTAGTAAAGGCTCATGAGACATTTCATAAGTTGATAGTGTTTGAGGTCTTAAAAAATGTTCAAATCTACACGTGTGCTGAAATCTAATTTAAATACTGTGTTTCCTTTAGTTACTTTGATTTCATGTTTATTCGTAAAGTAATTCAAAGACCAAGTCAACTATCTGCACTACAGCTCCTTACATAGCCATAGGGCCAGTGGATTGACTGTCAGTGAAAATACAGTGTTAATGCAGAGGACGACAGGAGATTACAACTTAGGAATCAGGGCAACTATTGGTGGGCCAAAGCAAATGGCTTGGTGGGCCAATTTTGGCACCTCTGCTAAGTTTGTTAGAAAAGGGCTAATGACACACTGACTTTCCAAAACATTTAGTTTTTATTGCTACTGTTTTTGTTTGTCATGACCCCAATCAAATCAAATCAAATCTTCTTCCTCTGCAGTGGGAAACGCCTTCGCAGCTGGACGGCAGGGGGCCTACACCATAGCACCTGCAGCTAACTGTGAGTTAAAGTGTATCCCCCCCCC